GCCGGACCGCACATGAGGGAGGTGGTAGGAAAATGGACCATACGTCTCCCTCGAATACACGTATCGGTATTCCCCCTCCCACCTCGGTGCCGAAGGAAGTAAGCACAAGATGCCGAACACCCTTAACAGGATGCAGCGCACCCTTCATGGGACTCCCCCAATACCTCACGGTGTTTCGCGGTTGGTGATGTGAGAGCCTAACCTGGTGAGAACCCGGCGTGCTCCGTGCCGGTTTTGTAGGGATGCCAGGTCAATTGGTCTAACCACTACGGCATGCACGACTATGAGTACACCCCCCCCTCACCTCATTGCCCCCGATGTGATGAAGGTGCTATTACGTCCACGTAGTTGTGTCTGTGTCTGTCTTTTTGTCCCGTTTGAGTGATCAGGGAACCGACCACAAGCGTACATGTCTGGGGGTACGTGTGAAGATTGACCTGGCCTGTGTATACCAGGCGGCGAGTACACCCCGGCCTACCGTAGGAAGGAAATCAGGTGACTCTTAGTACTGTTCTGTCTCGATTGGTGATCTTTGGTGCATATTTTTGTTTTCCGTTCTTTTTTGCTCGACATCATGTGCCGAGCACGAGCGTTGGGCGCTCCTTCCTTTTGAGTGGGATCTTCCTATTTTCAATATCCTGTTTCAGGGTTTTCTCTTCTCATGGTTTGAGTTTATTCGCCTGCTGTCGCTTATATTCGGGAGGATATTCGGAGTCCATTTCGGTTTCCGTTTCTACAAATGGGTGCCCTTTTCGGTGATTGAACTGTGACCTGAAAGGTGTCCCTGTCATTTTGACCGGTGCCGGTGCGGGCGTTAGAAGGTGCTGAACAGAGACCGGAACGGTTTTGATGTGAAAACAACAACAAATCGACAACAACCATTCCACATGACATTTTTCCGTAGCCTTTACTGCACAATACAAACAAACACTTTTCTCTCTTCCACATGACCTGCTGCTGTGCCTGTGGTATTCCATTACTATTCCTCGAGCGACTGTAAACAGACACTGCTGAGGCCCGTTGTATTTCTATTCCCATCTATCCTATGTAAGCACCCGTCTACACAGACATTTTAACACATCAGCGAGGGTCGCACAGGAGGAATTACCCATCTCTTCAATTCTCTTCTGTGGTGCTTTTCCACCACAAAATATGTACTCGGGACACCGAATGTTTCTGCGACCGTCACCTAAACTGAGGGTTTGAAAGAACAACGTCGGAGGCATCCGAAACAACAGGTCTTCACAATTACTGTGTCTCTACCTGTAACAAAAAAAAAAGTCCCTCAACGTGTGTAGAGGGAAGGGGAGGGCCCCAGACTATTTGTCGTTGATTTTCATTGGCTTGCGAACCATTGAGGTCCAGTATTATTGAGTATTCCTTTTTTAGATAAGTTAGCCTGTGACCACGGAAATCGCTCGATCAAGTGTTTGAACAGTACAGACAGATGAGCCAACTGGACGGAGAGATCGCAGTTTCCGGTTTCCAAAATGAAGAAAACCACGACAACAACAACAACAACAACTAAAAACAAACTCAAAACAACTTCAGAGGACAAAACACAACCCAACTATTGTTCTCACATTCCCTTACTTTTTTCGTTGTACAACCCGTGTGAGAGAGCGGAAATGTGTTGGACGAAGTCCATCCGTTCGAGGCAAAACCCTGTTCGAACGGACTTGGACAGGACTTTGCAACGAGGTTGACGGACACTTCCTGGATGCGGGACTTACTTGTTAGCAGTGAACCAGCCGAAGCGAACAACCTTCTCGAATATGTCCGCCAATCTGCAACCACGCCCGCTCTGGGGCCACATCAGTCTCCTAAGAACATTATTACTGGGTGCCCATGGCCCTCCAACCTGCGATTCGTGCGCGGAATCGACGCCTAAACGAGCCCGAATCACTGGACCAAGTGTGAGCGCCTCTGTCCACTCTGGTCTCAGATTCGCTTCGTTGTTCCATGCTTTTAGTCGTGTCAGCTGTAGAAGTAGACAATACCTGTAATGAGCTTTCTTTTTCGGTTGAAATACGAATGCCTCCCTTTTGCGCTATGATCTGCCAGCGTTATTGCCAGATCACCAAGTTACATGCAATTGTACGTGACGCTTGGGTTCCCAGGTGGGATCGAAACGTAGCGAGAACGACCTCGAGAACACCGTCGATGGAACGACCGTGGCCTTGATAGGGTCATCGGAGGCTTTCGTGGATGAAGATTGCGACTTTCGCACACACTATGGAACACCGTTGTCAAACAAACTGCCCAATGAACTCTGCATACATCTGCGCGGCGCACAGTCTACCGGAAAAAGGATCGTACAAGGAACCTAGATATCGTGCAAGAATTTCCTACAAAGCAGCCGCCCGTCGATGTCGCACACTTACTTCTCTTCAGGGGCAACAAGGACCGACCCATACAGGCAGTGGAGATCGCTCTCCCGTGCCGGTTGCAACGCCTCATTCCATCGCCACCCGAACCGAAAAAACGAACTTATCCAGGATTTTCCAACGTTCCCGAGGAGATCGATCGGCCGCCCGACAGCGACGACTGACTACGGACGTGAAGGTAGGGAGCAGTAGAGAGCTGTCGGCGGAACCGTTAGCGCAGGGTCGTCAACGGCCACAAGGCAGTCCACCACTGGCGAAAACATTTTTGACAACGTTGGGCGGAGGGCGAACCTTCCGAGGGGTATGTTCTCAGAAGACCTCATGACGGGCGCTGAGCCTTCAATCCTTACACCATCGTCCCGTCGTGCTGCTGGCAGAATATAATATGTCGTCATCGAGTTCATCGGCGAACGGCGGGAAAGTGGCGACGGTTCTCGCGGATGAAACGACGGGCACCATGCCCCTTTTCCTTTTTGGCCAATCGCGTGGGCCGGCGGACACCAGAGCTGCGGGGACTGCCTACGCATAGAAAGTAAGTGTGTTTCGAAAAAACACTAAATACATAGATCCTAAACCTATTGTAGCCTAAACCTTGACCCCAACCCCAACTTAGCCGATTCTATATTCGATCCGATTTGTTTCCTCACTAAGAAAAGCTGCGCAGACTATTGAGCTGCAGTCGGTGCTGAAGCTCCTCGTTGAACTGGAGATCGTCACCGGCAAAACGCGGCTGGTGCTTTTCGACAGCGCGAAGTCATCGCCGTTCTCAGCCGGGGATGGAATAACCGGAAACAGCGAGAGAGGCATGACGATGGGTTCCCGCTCGTAGCGTTGGTTGTAGCGCTGGGCAAAAATTCACGTATCTATCCCTGACTCCACAATGCTACATGTTGTGTCAGCGTTGGCTGCTTGTTCTCAAACGCTATGTCAGACGAATTCGACCCCACTGAGCACAGTACTTTCGCGCTGAAGAGGCCACCGCCCTGCAGGTCAAGGTTGACCGTATTGTTTGGACGAAGTGTGTCCATATGCACAAATCGTCCACGCACAAGTGCCGTCACTTCAGACGAAACGCGACAACACCGCTGTGGCGGAGCCCCAAGACGGCTCGTTGACAACGTACAGAACGCGCCCGCGCCTAAGAACCCGTGAATAGTTTAGACCGAGGCTGGGGTTCTTACTGCTGTATTTGTGCTACGAACGGCTGCTATTGAGGTTTCAGTGTAGGGTTTTAACCGAGCTCACAAACGGTGCTCAAGCTCTTAGATTTCTGAGTTTTAGACAAAGCATACAACAAATCCTTAACTGCCAAGATCTACAGGGCCGGCGCTTTCTGTACTACGGCAGGTTCGTGAACAACCCTCGGTTGACACGTATGCAAAGCGCCGCCTCAAAACCACACAGCGTCTTCTGAAAGTTTCCGTATTCGAAACGGAAGCTGCTGGCCAACGCCGGGATTCCCGAGAAGATGACCGCCGTCATTCGGCAACTCCACGACGGAATGCCAGCCCGGGCACGCATGGACGACGGAGAGGTATCGGACCGGTTTTGGGTCACACAAGGCCTATAACAAGAGTGCGTCTTGTCCCGACTGCTGTTCAACGTCTTCTTCGCAGCGGTCCTCGAGGTCGTTGTCATTCGATTCAGCGAGGACGATGTTGTTTTGCAGACCCTAGACGAGGAGACGGGAGCGGGGGCGGGGACAGGTGCGGCGGGTGGTATGGGGGATGCTATATGCCGATGACACCGGCGTCATATCGAGGTCTGCCGACAGACGTATGAGAATGATGGCCGTCATCGTTGAGGTGCTGCCTGAACACCACCGCTGCCCCCGCCACCACCACAGATCATCGAGGTAGCACGGCAGAGATACGCCCAGACGGCTGAATTCCGGTACCCACACGCCGTTGTGCAGCTGCCCACATGCAGTGGTGATCATGATATCGCGCTTCTTGGTGATCGCGTGCGCCATTGTGCGCGTGATAGGCTACTGGTAGCTGGTGCACGCACACGCCGATGTTGTTGGCAGTTGCTTCACCGCAACGCCTTGTTGGCTGATACACGCCGTTGTACAGCTTTGAACCGGTAAAAGTGCTCACGATGTCACCGCGGCACATACACACGCCGATGATTTGGTCTGAAGCGTAACCCTACGTCTCGTGTCTAAACTGTTACACGCGTTTTATCCAGATACGGCACAAGCATTTTCGTGTCTTCGTCTTCGGAAAATTCGGTTATCTTCTTGGTAGTGGCTATTAGTTTCGGATGTACGTTTCGAAAAGTTCACTTCGAAAAGGACCAGTATATAGCCACAAAAAAAAAGAACTTTTGACCCTAGGCAAACTATATTAGCACGAAGAGCAGCTGGCGTCTGTTAAAGCTTCGGCTGCCAGCGCGTTTACTTTGTTATCACGCTCGCGGGCTCTGGTCGAGAGCGCTTTGCACAAAGGAGTTACTCAAGTTCCTTGATTAACGATTGACGAGTGACAGACGTGAGCAGGAACAAGAAAGCCTGCTGCACCAAGTCTCTCTATCTTACCCATATCTATGTCATCTGCATACCCGCCTCGGAGATCTCGGAGTTTTGTATCCTGCCGAGTACACACACAAACAAACCTTTCAATTTTTTAGTTGCTTTGGTCAACACCACGCCAGGATGGGTGCTGCTGCACACCTCACCCCACCAACGCTGGTACAAGAACACGCGTGCCCGGGGATCGCCAGCCATCCGTGGCACGTGCGATCGGCGTGAAAGAAATGGGGAAAACATTATTGTTCTCTTTGCATTGACGGCAAGCGAATGATCGAAAGCAGCGGGATATAGCAGCACTATGATCTGCGGCGAAGACGCCGCTAGCTTAGACGCACAGACATGCACACGCGAAAGTTCCCATGAAAACATAAATATCCCCCACACGGTAAACCGTCACTGCCGAACGATGAGATGCAACGGTGACCTCTTGCATGGCCCCCATGAGGCAAACCACCTAGCTCCCCAACGGGAGCCTTCTTTTATTATATAATAGCTCATTACTGTTTATCGAATGGCTGATAAAGCCTACACTCGTCCGGCATGATCGGCGCAAATCGTTCCAGGGTATCTTTCGCCCATGTCTCGTCGTTGCATCTGGGAACGAAAACCGACAGGAGGACAGCGAAAAAGGAGGTGTCTCGGAACGTGAGCATCGAGTCATACAGGGCCAAACGCGCAAAACGAATTCACCCCAGCTAAATGCTTCGCAGAAAACGAAACCGATGGCGTACCTACGTGAATTCAAAGTCATGGCCATGTTCAATATTGAATAATACGTTGTCAACTGCCTGAAAAGACGTAACTTCTCATCGAAAGCAACGAAAACGCTAACGTTTTCGCCTCGACCTTGCCAACGCTTTGTAGACACGACGAAACATATCCAGACCTGCGCTCCAGCGGTTCGTAGGTGGCCAGCTCTGCCCCCACCAAGGGGTGGTGCAGCAAGCCCGTTTCCCTTAGCCGCTCGCAGAACTTGGCCGAAACGAACTCGTGTAGAGCCTCGTCGACCGCGTTGGCGCTGCGGGCCGCATCCCTCAGCTCGGGTGTGATGTGCTTTATTCCTTCCTCGTGCTTCGACCCGGTGTTGTGGCGCTGTGGACCCGCCGCGGCGCCTTCCTTTGCGTCTTCGGACGAGGACACTAGAAGTATGGAGGGGGGGAGAGAGGAAGAGGAAGATAAATAAAGAGAGGTAGAGAGAGCAGCCAAAATAGAAGGGGACATCAATCGTGGGTTTGTGTACAAGAATATGGCAATAGAAAAACATGCCACGGGGTGAATGTTTTCTCTTGATGCTGTATGGCCCCCCGCGGCGCATTCACAGGAAAAGGCGACTTGCAGCTGCAGGAAATCCGTTCTGCCATTTTACCGTAATACTGCTGCTCTTTCAGAACGCCGCTCGAGGGTGCAACAAACAGGATACCTTGCTTGAAAATGACACCTTGGTGCGTTCGTAATGGTGAAGGGCCGGAGAATTTGGTCAAACAGGAAAATATTTCAGCTTGGCTTTGGTCTCTTTGTTATTGTCGGCCCCCTCCCCGACAAAAAGCACTCGTTGGCGGTGGGCCGTTCCCTGTGATCCACGACGTGGGGCCTTACGAGGAAATGTGCATTGGCGCAGGTGTCACTGGATGCCTTATGAACCCAGCGCTATCGTTCATAACTCTGTCGTCAGACACCGGCATTCCTGCTACATCGCAACGAACTCGCGTGTTTTTCATCAGGAGTAGAGTGGAGTTGGGGCTGCATTGAAGCAAATCTATTCGAGTGAGCAACGACGGCGACGACGAAACCGACGAGGGAGCAGCATTCTCGTTGATAGCGAGATAAACTGTACATCACGCCATCTGGAACAACACCCACACTGGCGATGCCGGTGCCTCGGAGCGGGGAAGAAATCTGCGGTCGGCTCCAGCCACCGCAAGGTCTCGAACAATAGAAGGACGGACGAAGCCCACGCTTCACTAATGTAAAATCGACCCACGACAATGACGGCGGGCGGGGCGAGGGACATGATGATTGGGGGAAATACTGTTCGACGAGCACTCGTTTTTCCAGGACATGTCAGAGAAGTTTGACCAGGGGGTACCTTGCCGTGTACGGGATGTCGTGCTCTACAAAATGGCTGCTGTTGGTCGAGGTCTACGTGACAAACACCGGTATACAATAAATAATTTTGCCCAGTATTTCCTTCGTGACATGCATCACGCTAAGCTGGTAAGGGAAAAATCCTGACGCGGCGCAAGACACCGACCATTTAGTCACGAGTTGTCACACTTCCATGGGGTGGATGTTCAAGCACACCGTGCCTGAAAGGCGCCATGCAGTGTATGGTACGTAAAACAACGGTACCAACCCAAACGAGAGGACGATTGGGTAGCGCCACGCCCGGACGATAACTCTTACTCGTCCCTGCCGCAGGCAGCACCACAACATCAAGAGACACAGGAGTTCTCGCTCACCACATGGTGACGAAGTTCAAGTTGCACGCTCCCTTTATTACGGACTCCAGGTCTTCCGCGCACGCCGCCTCCCCGCCTACATCCTGATCCTTGTTCATGCAAAGCTTGACGCTGCCTTCGTAGGCGTCGTGGCCCGACACCATTCTTGCAGCGACGTTCTGGAACTTGGTAGTATTCATCATTTCCTCGAAACAGCTCTCGTAGTCCTACGTGTGTTTGGAGAGCGGAGACGTGGGAAGGCGACGGTGTTGTACTCGTTGCTTTCTTGGGGTAGCTGGGCGCAGTTGATTGGCGTCTAACTGGTTGGTCGCCTAGAGGAAGGACTACAGTAAATCCCCGCAACCTACTCGAAGAACGATAGCAACGTTGTACGGCCGTTGGCCAGGGCCAGGGCCAGGAAAATGTTCATTTTGCCAAATGAGTAAATATGTTCCTGCTGCCGTGCCCGCAGCGCGTGACCTAAACTGTACAGTGTTCGATGCAAATGGGCGGGTAGGATTCAACACACAAAATCGGCAACAACGCGGGAGAGGTAGGTATGACGTGAGGGCGAGATGACCGTCAAACTCACCTATTAATAGACGTTTTTGCAAGCATTGAACAGCCGCCTGCTTTTTGAATGATATGTATGCACTTCGAACACTTTTGGGTAGAACCCCCAAACTCGATCTGAACAACGCGAGTATTAATTGCTATCTATCGTCACAAGAGACTTCCGGTGTCCGGAACTCACCTGTCTTGCACCATTCCCAGAAGAACATTTCGTACACGAGGGCTCAACCCAAACGACTAATGTGCCGCAATATTCGCAATACAATCGGAAACATCGGTCAGAACGCAAGCAACTCGCAGCCCTCTGACAAGCACGCCCTTCGGGGGTATTTCTTGGCGGCAAACTTGTTCCAGGGGCTTGTTCTTCAAGTTGTTCGAAGCATCCCTCTCTCTCGACCCATCTGTAGTCTTCCTCGCCAACTTATTCGTTCACCACATTCGCCGACACGGTGGGCGTGGTGGTGAAAAAACTGCTACGGGAGCAAGTTAGGGTCTCGGGCAACGGGCGAGACATCACAGCAGATCGGGTTTCACGTCAATCTCTCACCACATCGTCCGTCCTTGTGCACAGCGGAGAGTGTGGTTGCGTGTACAAGAACCCCGAGACCATCCGGTCCACGACATCACGGACGTTGCTCATCGAAAACACGCTAGGGTCCTCCAGCATTGTGTTCCTCTTCGGGTCCATCATGTGGGCGGTGCACCCCAACACCTACGTAGTTTCGGGTGCAGCGACGAGGGAAGTCGGACGGTGTGTTATGTAGGTGAAGTCTACGGGGCGAGTGACGACAAAATTCGTGGGGAGCGGTGGTTCGCCCCGGCATGGACCGGGAAACGGAGGGGAAAACGCGTCAACAGGTCTCGGGAGCACGAGGCCGAATCAATGGTGTGCGAAAAAAGTCGAGACAATCATGTCGAGTATCTGTCAGGCAATTTTCCAGTCCAAGCAAAAACACACAGTCCACGAGATACGCATGTCAAAATAACGGTCGTTTAGGGGTCACCGTTTGAGTTGGACACACTTGACGGTTACACGGACACCTCACCGCCGGGCACATAAGGCCTTCCGACGGGCAACTCCCGGGAGGGTGTCCGGGCATCATGCAGCAAGGGCCTCGAGGCACGCATCCGCCAAGCCGCCTTGCGATGACGCTGGCCTCGCTGCTGCCGGCCTTCGGCACCCTGACGAGCTTCGAAAAACAACGTGGACATTGCAGGAGCGACGACCAGAAACCAGTTGTCTTTGTGATCGCACAGCGCACAGAAACTGTGAGGAATGATATGCGGGGAGCACGAGCAGCGCAATTTTGTTACTATTACTCCAGTGTGCACCTAAGGGTTCACAAACGGCCGGCGGGGGGCGTGTTAACAGAAGAACTGAAAGGTATTATAGGCGTGGAGGGGGCAAGTGGTGCTGCTTTTCCTTGGCATCGAAAAGGCCAACTGGTTGCCTGAAAGAACACGTGGCTGATTGAACCTGTTCGACAACGTTCCATCCAAGGGTCGAATACAGGGCACTCCGCCCCCGGCGTTGATTCTAGCACCCTTATCTCGAGAAGGTGTGGTGCTTGGTGCTTGGGTGCTTGGTGCTCAAGCTCCAACCCAAGCTCTGCTCAAGGCGGCAAAAGCGCCAAAATCGAATCTATGTCCTGCGCATGACGCACACTATCGCAACTGTTTCACGTTAGGGGAGTCGTTGTCCTCGCAGTGAAGGGGTACCGGAAGAGTTGGTGCTTGTGTAGCTCTCGTCATCCACCGCACATCGAAACCTGCAGCCTGGGCACACGCCGGCGAACAGGGTTGGTACCCTCGACAGCATCAGCATCCTCAGCAGCCCCGAACGGGGTGCATCTGGAGCGAGACGTAGCTCTGTACGCGGCAGAAGGCAGTCGAAACCACCGGGATTTTTTTGCTTTACCTCTTTTTTAATAACAATATTGTAGATGCATCCCGGGCTCTCTGCTGCCCACACCGCAAACAACACAAATCGATCCATTCAGGCTGACGGTCGGGATCGACAACTTCCAACCCAACCCTTCGTACGACGATACCCTAGGGTGAACTCATTCGCCGTGTAACTGCGACGACATTCGACGTCTTTACTACCGCTAAAATATCGTACCACTGCCCAAGACGCCTCGAACGCCACCAATCTGGGCACCTGCAAGCGATCGAAGGCGAAGGTGTCCCCCTCCAAGGTGGCCGACCTGACGTTCCGGGCCTCGAACCGCTCACGGGCGAGCTCGAGGAAGGTAGAAGCCGCAACATCTGTTTTCCAAGAGCGAACGGGAGATGGGATGAGAACGCGGGAAAGGCAAGCAAGTCCAAGACAATTGGGAAGAATCTTTCCGGGCCATGAGACTTGTCGGGTCGGCACCAAGCGCTGACACACCCCAGTATATGTATTGATACCGCCTGTTCGTTTGGGTTGTGTCGTACACCTTTGTCGTGTGCCGCTTTGGATCTTGCAGAACGTAGCGTTACCGCTTTGTACATATCCAGAGCTACATACGTACGTATGATTGTCCGTCCGTAGTTTCACACATGTTGGCTTCCTCTTCATGCATATCGCTTGGCGTCAACATTTCTTGGTGCTGCCCATTCCCGACTGCGCGTATGGGTTTGAATTGGTATCAGCAATCACCTCCTGCGACCTGCTTGTGTCGACTATGCTGCACTGGTTTTCCAGCCGTCCCTACTTCAAGTACCAAACAGTTGCGAGCAAACACTTTTCGGAGTTTTCAAAGATCAGATTGTATTTCATCTTGTCCGTATCATGCCCCCTCCGAACATTTCGTAGCCGTCAGGACCACTGCACATGCAACTGCATTCAAGCATGTGAGCACTGCTTTTCCGTTCCGTCATTCTCGGCGGCCGCTTCACACTTCCGTCCTATGCTCTCTCTCACCCTTCTCAACCGTCTTCACGTCTTCCTCCGTGTCTCCAATTCCACCCTCCTTACCACCCCTACAACGGTCGTCTTCCTTCTTCTCATACATATACTCCACCTAATCCCAAACATTCACCGCCATCCGTCTCGTTATGGCCGCCCGTCCTATTGGAGGCCGGGGCACCAATCCCCACCCCAAGTATATATCATCTTAGAAGATTAGGAGTTTGGGTTTTGGGTTTTGGGTTTTCGCCCTTGTGGTTCGAATGCCTTGGTCGGGACGTCTGGCATATAAGGTGTTCTTGCTGCCTCGCGGGTCCTGCATGAAATTTACCAAAAACGAGTACCTTGTCCACCAACGTTGAACTCGTGCGACGCCGCCAACGCCAGCAGTCCGGGAAAACTACGCCACTGCATGCCGCCCGCTATGTAGCCAGCAGATTCTGTTTTTGACGGGGTACAAACGGTATCGTCGGGCGTAACGGGGGGCGGTTCACGGCAACTCTCAGAGATGAACTTCAAATGTTACGATCACGGCAAATAGGAAAAACGAGCTCGGAGTGTTTCGGCACCCTGGTTCTGATGAGATCACCTCGCGTTTTGGTGGCCAGGCGTCTGCTTCGTTTATGTTTTAGGATGTCTGGTAAATTGTTACTGGGGAAAAATATGGCCCCTGGTCCCCCGCCCCCCAGTGGGCAATCTCCCACACCACCGACAATTTTGTTACAGCCCGTGGGACACCCATGGGTCACGCATGGGCCGCACATGGACACTTCGTGGGCCGCTCATGGGCTGCCCACGGGCTACCCATGGGCATGCTCATGATGGGCCGCCCCTGGGTGACCCATGGGCTGCCCGTAGGCCTAAATGGGGGCCCCATGGGTTACCCATGGGAGTCCCATGGGTCGTTTGGGAAAAATTGAGAAAATGTGTGAGACACCAATGGGGCGAGCGGCATTAACGAGACGGATGGCGGTGAGGGTTTGGGAGGAAGTGAAGAATAATAATAAGAAGAAAGCCGACCGTACATATAGGTGGCAACCAAAGAAGGAATATCTATTAGACAAAGAAGAAGGAGCCCAGCCGTTGTTCATCTGTTTGTCGTTTGAAAATGTCGAAGCATCATCACAACAGAGAGCGTGCGTTGCGAGATGCTGTCCTATAACGAGCAAAATGTGAACGTGTGCAAACGAGCCTCTTTCTACCCTCCGCCTGCCGCGGTTTGTGCCACATTGTGCGGCCTCCCTCTGGCGCACACACATGGTTGATTGTCGTTTGCAGTGCGCACGAAGCCCACGGAGTATCTCGTGGGGCGCCCGGCAAGCCAGCAACTGTCCCAAAATACAAATCTCATGAAAGCAAACTGTTATAGCATCTCGACGAGTATCGTCGAGTTGCCTGTCTGAAGCCATTGACTTTTTCAGCGGCAACAATCCAAGGTAGACACGAAGACGCCCTATGAAAACACAGGAAGACTTGTTACAGTTGACCTCGCAGACGTCTCTTGTGGCGTTTCGCACCCCATCGGCAGTGTGTGATCTCCATGGGCTGTGATTCTTTATTGTTTGCATCTCCTCTCAAAGACATGCTCCAAGTTCAAATGGCATTTCTCTTTCTATGTCGTACGCAAGTTCGTTGCGTGCGAGGTGACCGCCGCTCATACATGACGCGGCGCCAGGACTTTGCGCATCTTGCACTCGGTCTCGCCGATGGCAAGCTCATATGAATACCTTGGCGATTATCTCTCTCTTTCATGCAACGGAACGTTGTTTCGCGATTCGCGGCATGTGTTATCGATTCACCTCTTGACACAACGTAATGCTTGACATCTGCATGCTGCTTGCCCGAATACCTCTGCACCTTGCCGTGTGTTGGCATGGACTTTGGTCGACCGTCACGCCCGTGCAGCGGTTCGTTTAGGATACGATAGCTTGTTGTCGTGCGTTGGGTGAAATTCTCGAGAGCGCCCCTCTACATTCATCCGAAAATTTCACTGCGGCTTTCTTCTCGCACAAGGCAATTTTCAATCGGGGGCGTGTCCCCTCTCCCCCACTGTAACGACCACTTTCACGCGTTCAGGTGGGCATGGGGGCAGATCGTTTCCTCGCCGAGCGATGACGGCGCACCGCATGTATTCGCATGCGAACGGTAAGCGGTGTTCTCCCAACCGAACCTCAAACAAACGCGGACTTCGATCGCCGACCTTTAAGACCATGACAAGCCTTTGTCGGAACAGCGGACGCAATGCCAGGCTCGCATGTGGGAACTCAAGGATTTTGTTCCAGCTGACATCCAGGCTGCCGCTCATTTTTGGCGGGATGTCCTCCTCAAGGCGACTTCACCAGCAGACAGAGATACCTTGTTGGGGTGGGTGAAGGGCGTGAGCGTGCACGATTTTGTCGCACATAGGGCACAGGGGATGTTTCAAGGCCGCCGATATCGGGGTGCCGCGCTCCCGCCGGTACATGTTTCAAATTACGTGCCAGACGAACACCAGAAGTGGGCTACCAGCGAAGTTCAAACGCTGGTTCAATCGAGGTGTGTAACTCGTTGGGCTGATGTGGCAGACACGGGAATCATGACCCGACCACACACGGTGTTGCCTTTGGGGGTGAAACCGAAGACGTCTCGGCTCATCTGGGATGCACGATGGCTCAATCTCGTGCGCCTCGATATTCCTCTTACAATGGACGGCGTAGGAAAGGCGCCCACCAAGTGACCATAGATCACAAGGCTGGTTACCACAACGCGGCTCTGCGGGCGGACTCGTGGCAGTACTTTGTTTTTTTAATGGGATGGCGAGTTCTATGTGCTCACCGTTCTGTGTTTCGGCGGGTGCTCAGCGCCGTTCATCTATGCATCGCTTTCGGAGGCGATCGCGCGGTACATGGGATCGCAAGACATCCCAGCACAGACTTGGATCGACGGCTTCTACATGACTCATTTTGGTCGACCGGCCGCTCAAGTTGTCGCATACTTGGTACTTGATGTGTTCCATGAAGCGGGATATGTAATCTCGCTCCCGAAATGCGAACCCACGTCGACGACACGGCTGGTGTATCTCGGTGTCACTTGTGATTCTGTTTCGAGGTCCCAACGGACAAGCTCGACAAGCTATGTAGGAGCGCTCCTCCGCGACGCTGTCGAGTCAGGATGCATTTCTTTTCAGGGACTTGAAAAAGTTAGCAGAGGAATGTATGTGGCGGTACCGGTGGCGGCCCTGTATAATCATCACACGTACCGGCAATTCCCTGTTTTCAAGCGTACCGGGGGCAGGAGATTGACATGTGTCGGAGATTGACATTGCGTCCAACGGGGGTCTTACGTTCGAAATGCAGCAATGGCCCGAAGTCCGTAGCAAATTCAACGGGGCATCGTCGTATTGAGCACAAAATATTTCTCTCCGGTGCTTCAGACGCGTCGTCTAGTGGATGGGGGGGGCTGATTCGTTGCCCATCCCACGAGGTATTCCGCGCAAGGGGGTGTTTTCCGCCCACGCTAGTAAGTGACTACATCAACGTGAAAGAGGGTACGTCCTGCAGCAGACGTTGAAGTGGTTCTGCGTCGATTGCCCCTCGCGTGTAGCAGAGCCCAATCTGGTCTCGGACATAGATAATAAGGTCTTTGACGACGCCTTTCAGCAAGGTCGCGAACGTAATACACTAATGCACGACACCATCATCTATTTGTTCTGGCTGAAAGTGCGTCACGACTTCACGCTCAAAGTGCGATGGGTACAATTCGACCGCAAACGCGGAAACGGATAGCGTGCCGTGTCCGGGAGCGGACGGTTTTTGTGCCACTCGACGAGCCCGTGTTTGGCGACTTCTGCAGTTGGGCAGGCGACCTCGATGTTGACCTAATGACCACCCCCGCGTCTTCACAAGGTGTGGCAAGCAGGAAAGGAGACCAACATGCGTCTGCCGTTTTTCTCCCATTTTCGCACGGATGGTTGTGCGGGCATTGATGGAGTTGGTTGGAATGCAGAATTGGCATGCTGGATGTGGTGGAATCACGCCTGATTGTTGCACTGCTGTCGGAAACCATGGGGGGGGATATGATACCATGCTGTCCGCCGCAGTACGGCATGTAGTATTTCTGACATAGGGTATTTGTTCGGCAGTTCATGTTTTTATTTTCTGCGTTTCCCTGCAGAGTTGATATTGATTCGATTATTGATTGGTGGGATTTTGGTAGTTCACGTTTGGATCATTTTGCGTGTTTCACCTGCGGAGTTGATATGGATTTTAATATCGACCGGGGGTTTCGTTGCGTTTATTTGAGATGTCCCAAAAAGGGGGCTGTCGGATGGATGCTGAGATGGAGGGATCGAAGCTGCAGCAGTAGGGATGAACGGTTTACTAGACGCTTGTTTCCGAACACGTTTGGGATGTACTTCATCGGTTTGTTTGCGGGCTTTGCCTTTGTACTTGTATGTCTGTGTATTGGAGGAAGGGTTTGGCATGTTTCGATAAGTAATGGTTGAAGCGTTTGTGCTTCCGAAGATTATTTGAACTGGTCATTCATTGAGTTGAACATGAATTCTCTCTGAGGAATTTGGTCTGAGTGGGTGGTGCACGTTTTCTCGGAGTTACCCGTCCCCATTCCGACGCAACTCCTATGGATGTATTGCTGGTCCTTGCTTGGTATTTTTCCAATGGTAGTTTTTTGCGTTTGACTGCTTGAGAATTGGGTAGAGCATTTTCTCAAGAGGGTGATTTGATAATTGACAGACCTTTTAGGGGATAGCAATTTGACATTATCAGAGGATTTGAAAGACTTCGCACAACATGTTTTATTGGGAGATCGACAGATTTCTTTCGTAGCACATTGTTGTATTGGGAGATTGTTTGGATTGGAATATGTATGGTGAAGGATTTTCGTGTATGGAGGGGCAGCTTGATTTAATGCCGTTTTACCTGGCAATGACAATCGTGACGGGGATTTTGGCGATCGTATCTCGTACCGAGCAGGGGGGCTGTTTGGGGTGCTCGGCAGAGCATACTGTCTACGGGGCCTCCGGGGGATACGCGGATGGTATGTGTTGATGGACATGCTACATGGCGATGGTGTTGCCTACCGCATGTCTCTCACTCTCTAAGCCACTAGGTCTTGAGTCAAAATTATTTTTCTTTCGGGCTCTGAGGAGTTACCGCACCAAAACAGAAACTAGAGCTGCTCGTGAAACAACTGTACAAATATGTGAATACGTTGTTGGTCACAACACGTTGATCCCCAGGGGCAATCTACCGCGAACTCCTATCTATCTGTGGAAGGGAAAGGGTGTGGTGAAATAGAAATTCGCCGCTCTACGTTCGTTGTTGTGGTCAGTCGTCGCAGTCGTTAGTCAGTCAGTCAGGCACACTTTCTTCTCACCGTGGCCTAGGGCAAGTACTCAATGCACGTATATATATAAAAAAAGAGCTCATGTTCCGCATAGAAG